AAAGTAATTAGTATCTTCAAAGGAAAATACTTAATGGGAAGTGTTACTGAAAACTTTGGAGTTCCTTATAATTGATTATTTTATAACATTATATTTCATTAAAACTAATTTTTTTTTTGTTGAACAAAATTCATGGTATTGACAAGCACATGCCCTAATTGGAAGCAAAACGAGCAAAGAATGCAAGAAAAGTACTCACTGCAGGGAGAACGGTCCATCCTATGCAAATTAGAGTCTGACGTGTCATTCTTAGAGGCAATGCGTAAGAAAAACTTGTTATTAAATAGAGCAGACAGCAACTCACGCATTGTGCGACATAGCTATAAAAATAAGACAATTCAAATAATCTTTAAAAATGTTATAGTTCCATATTGGGTTAAAATTTATCAATCAAAGTTGGATGTTGTAAATGTACTTATTTGATATAATTGTGCAAGGAGTAGTTCAAACAAAGTTGTTGTAGATTTTGGAATACATATCGTCGAGGGAGTTGTGATTTAGTAGCACATCAAAATACAACATAAACAAAGTGAAAAATTAAAATCACACTCTATACTTTAGCATATTGACTACATTTACTTCTCTAAACTACACACTCAACAGCATTACGAAAGTTCACAAAACATTACAACTCATTTTAAATAGAAATAATTAAGACATGGTAGGAGTTACGTAATTGATTCTCAGTTTGCTGAAAACACTTAACGGAGAATTTCTCTAATTGCTAAGGCAACGTTTCGGTGGCAGCCCATTTTGTGGAGAATGCAATGAAAGTAAGTTTGGCAGTCAGATGGCACCATGGAGCGCTTTAAGGCACGACTAGTTGCCAAAGGATATGCTTAGAAAATGAGGGTATACATGACCATGACATTTTTGCTCCTGTTGGCAAACTAATTACTGTGCGTGGTCTTCCTGCAGTTGCCTCCTTACGGAATTGGGTGATCCATCAAGTCGATGTGAATAATGCCTTTCGGACAAGCGTCCCGCCAATGGTTCCACAAGTTCACCACAGCCTCGAGAGAGGTCGGCCATAGACAATCCAAGGCCGACTATTACTTGTGCTCGCTGTAGCAGATTCATTGCCTTAACTGGTTTATGTCGATGATGTGGTCATTGCTGGGAATGACACTGCTCAAATAAGTTATCTCAAGAATTATTTGAGCAGACGTTTCCAAATCAAGTATTTGGGCCGCCTAAAATGTTTCTTGCTATCAAAGTTGCTCGAAATTCGGATGGACCTGTTCTTAGTCAGCGTAAATATGCTGTTGATCCGTTACAGGATCCATGTGTTCTTGGTTGCAAGCCTCGTGACTTTCCTATGGAACAAAAGCATGGATTATATGCAGTCGCTCAATATCATCGGTTGGTGGGACGTCTACTATATCTGACGATGACAAGACATGATATTTGTAATGCCAGACGCATTTTATCTTAGTTAATGCATGACCCTCGACAACCAGACCTCGATGCCGCCAAACGTCTGCTTCATTGCATCAAGGAGAGTCCTGTGCAAGGAATCCAAACTTTCTGCCCATAGTGATTTAAATCTCGTTGCCTATGCTGATTATAGTTGGGTTGCTCGCTCGTTCCACAACCCGAAGTTCTACCTCTGGTTATATTGAAGGTCGATCGTCCATATCTTAGAATGAGGATGGTAAGTTGCCCGCAAAGTGAAATTTCTCAGGTACCTGTTTCATTAGAATTTAACTTCGCGACAAAATAGCTTTAACTGAAAGTCATTTTTCGATTTTATTGGAGGAGATAGACATGATTTAAGTCGATTCCAGACATGAAATATCATAGGTAGACAAGAGAATCAGTAACTTTCACTTCAAACGGAACCAAATGTACACATATTGTGCTGGAATTTAATCGATGATAAAGCTTACGAATGTAAATACTTCAAATGGAACCACAAGTACACAAAATATGCTGGAATTTAATCGACGACAAAACTCTGCTCATAAATGACCAAATTCTACTCTCATCGACTAAGTCTATCACATATTGATGATAACTTAAAGTTGGTCATTTTTTGGCCCAAACAAATGCCCCATTTAAAAGAATGGAATGATTTATCAATCATTCGATTCTTTAATTAGATAACCAAGAGTCATCATGTGCCCCCTTGTCATTAGCAAATTTGATTTTTCTTGCCGAATTTTATCTTGATTAGAGAATCATCGTATGACTCATATCTTTCCACGAAAGGCACGTTATGTGTAAAGTTTTCATGTGGCCCTCTATCTCTGTCTTTACGTGGTTGCTCATACTTAGATACTCTTGTTGCCAATTGGAATAAATCGATAAAATTTTGGCCTTCGAATTTTTTCTAAGATTGAATTTCATTCCACCGTAAGCCAAATTTGTGAACTTTTTCTCTAAGAGTGAAGTAAGGCATCTATTTGTAGCCCTCTTAATGGGATCTTCAAAGTAATAAAATGTTCTTGTTGGGTTGCAGATATAGGATGTTGGTCAAATTTGGAAGACCGCACATACTTTTTAAGTTCTCGATGAGTATGTTTGATAAGGTGCTCGATAGACAAGATAGAGGAGAAAGAGGAAGGTTTAGCAATGTAGAATAAGGATTTATAAGTGGAAGGTGGGTTTATGAGATCCTATTGTCCTCGTTGAGGTTGAAATCTCATAGAGGTTGTCAATCTTAGACATTACATGTGCAAAGTTCTAATGGGGGACTCAGGGAGATAGGAGCCTTTACAGTAACTGGGGAACTAAGATAAGAGGATTTCGCCATGGTGGTTGAGTTCTTCCTCCCAGCACTAGTATATTGACAAAGTTTGGCTAAATCAATGATCTATACTTCAGGTATCGTTCTATAAAATTGAGAATGGAATTGTCTTTCCATCTCAACCCAAGTATGAATGGAATTAGGAGATAAATTCGTATATATAATAAAGGCAGTTTTTGATAAACACAAAGGGAACAACCTAAGTCTCAGAAATTCATTTCTTCCTGCCTCTCCACATTGGGTAATAAATCAACGAATGTGTTGGATGATCAACCGGTCATCTTCGCTAATGAAAATAGCGAAGTCAGAAGTTTTGAATTTTCTTGAGTAAGGTATAGTATCAATCGAGTCAGGATGTGGCTTATTATATACTGACCTGACCATTCCTCTGTCAACACCTAATTGTCATAAAACGAGTTTAACCACTTGATCAGGATTCGCAAGTTGACACCCTTATTGCCCCCTAGGGTCAGGGTAGATAGGTCGGTAGACTTTACCTTCCTGCCCCCCAGGTTCAATTAGATAAGATTTTTAGGCCTTTGTAAAATTTTCACTGGTTGTGGGATTACTTGGCCTAAATTATTTCCGCCGTTCGATTGATTAAGAGTTGAAGGTACATATATGAAAGTCATTGTGTTAAGTTGGATTGACGTGGATTGATTGAATGTCCCAGGCCTAGAAATGACATCGTGGATCGCATTGATGACCATGGACATGATCACATCAAAATGTGTCTTACTATTTGATTAATCATCTTATAATGTTGTTCCTCAATCAGCCTCTTCATGGTAGCCACCAAAGTAAGGTTTGGTGCTAACTCCCTCGTCTACTCCTCTGTAAAGTGTCACAGGATTTTGACGTTGCCCCCTTGACTTGGCTATGTTGCTGGAGCGGTTGCGATCTCAAATGGAGCAGCCATATCACCAGGGTTGTTGCCCGCAGCATGATCTGGCTCTAGATGGTTCCTTGGTCTCGGCATTATACTTCATCAAATCGATCACACTGGTCCCACCAGACATGCCAAAAATATGTTTCGTCGGAATTTGACTCCACCACAAACTATCTTTCATCGAAAGTTATTCTTTGGTGTCATTAGAGGAGACCAGTTATTGGCGATTCCAAATAAGAAATATCACATGTAGACAAGAGAATCAATAACTTTCACTATAAACATAATGGAATGTACACAAACTGTGTCGGAATTTAATCATAAACAATGCCTGAGAACATGATTACTTCAGACAGAACCAAACATACACAAATTATGCCGGAATTTTATTGATGACAAAGCCTGAGATCGCAAAAATGTAACGCCAGAATTTAATTGACGACTCGAGTACGAATATAACTACTATGTAGTAATTGAAATATAACATGATTATTTGTTTGTTTGGGCGGCTCTCCGAAGAGTTTGATGTGGTTATTTAAAGCTTACAATCGGTTATCAACGAATGTTACAAAGGGAGATTACAAATAGTTACTGAACAATTACATCGACAGTTACATTTTACCTTGACGATTTCTTCAACTCCACTATCTTGACGGTTTCTTTTACTTCACTATCTTGACAGTTGCTTTATTAAACTACACTGACAGTTACTTCTTTGACGATTGCATCTGATATTGTCGACTCCACTTTTTATTAATTTGTTTAAGCTATCGATTCATCAAATTGTCGATATTTCTGTTCATAAATAACCAAACTCCACTCTTATCGACTAAGCTTATCACATATCGATAATAATCAAAAGTTGGTCATTTTTTTATGCAAACAGTACCAAAATCCTTCCATTAACTTTCGATATCTCGTCTTGTTGCCTTGTGTAATCTACAATACTTGGTAGCATGCCAAAAAGTAAAATTACTTAAATTCTGGATATCGTCAATTGATTGTGGTCGATTTTGCATGTGAAAGGAACAATGCCATTTTATGTCCTTTTTAAGTGGACAATATGGTCCAAACAGGGGTACCAAAACGATTCATAAGGGACAACAGTATGCCAAAAAAATGCAAGTGCGTATTGATTGTAAGCTTAATGCTATTCCCAGCACTACAAATTATGTCATTATAGATCATCGTGGTTACCAACCGGAGAAGAGATGTACAAGTCAATTCCTACCGAAACTTCGGTTTGATAACTGAAATAAAGGAGGAGGAGGACGAGAGAGGCCCAGCCCATCTTGGGTCCTGAGTTGGGCAGTGTACTTGGGCAAAAAAAGTCGAAATCTCCAATTCCTTATCTCTTTCCTATCCTCTAATCTCCTTACTCTCTATCTCTCTCAGACTGAGACAGAGAGGGAGTATGGCCAGCACGGTGAGCTTCCTGAGACTCCCAAGTCTTGCCCAGAAGCCTTGGAAGAGCAGTGTCCCGCCTCTCCCCAACCCCTCCATTAAACTCAAGCTCGGCTTCTCCGATGACTCCGGCGACCCGCTCTCCTCCGCCTTGGACTACCTCCGCTCGGCTTCTCTGCCTTTGACCACCGTCGCATTGCCCTTCTTCCTAGACGCCAAGGCAAGTCCCGAGCACCCTCTTGGTTATATCCCTGGCTCCGTGACTGTGAAGTGTGTTAATGGTGCAGGATGCGATTGCGGCGGGAGGAGAGTTCGGGATACTGGAGGGGAGGACGTTGGCGCTGATTCACCCCATCGTGATGAGCGGGCTGTTCGTGAACACGCTGTGGGCCGGCTACTTGGGGTGGCAATGGCGACGGGTGCGCACCGTCCAGGACGAGATCAACGAGCTGAAGAAGCAAGTCAAGCCCGCCCCTGTCAGCGTCGCCTCCGACGGCTCTTCTTCTCCACCCCAAGAAGCCCCACGTCCCTCCCCTGTCCAACTCAAAATTCAACAGCTCACTGAGGTTCCCCCACTGCCCTGTTTCCTTCTACTTTCAAACCATGCCTAAATACATTACTCCCTCATTCTCTTGTCAAACTTTGTATATGGATGGAACAGGAGCGGAAGGAGTTGATAAAGGGAGGGTACAGAGACCGGCATTTCAATGCCGGGAGCATACTCTTGGCCTTCGGGGTGTTCGAGTCAGTAGGAGGCGGCATCAACACCTGGTTCCGTACCGGCAAGCTCTTCCCCGGCCCCCATCTCTTCGCCGGTGCTGGTCCGTATTCCTTCCCCATTTATTGCCATTGCCTCTGTAATTGGAATTTTGCAATCTCATGTTCCTCAGCCTTCCTCTTCTTTTCGTGCAGCAATCACCGTGCTTTGGGCAGCGGCCGCAGCTCTAGTCCCGGCGATGCAGAAAGGCAGCGAAACGGCGCGCAATCTCCACATTGCGTTGAACTTCTTGAATGTCGTCCTCTTCGTTTGGCAGATCCCCACCGGTATCGATATTGTGTTCAAAGTCTTCGAATTCACTAAATGGCCTTGACTCTGCTCTTCCCTTTCATCCTTCCTAAGAACCATTTGTTATACAAAGCATCTGGCATCTGATACCCTTTTGGGACTTCTAGCCCATTCATGTTTTTCTCTTATCATACTCTTACATTTAAGAAAAATCAATGGAGGAATATTACTTCTCTGGCGTGCTCACTGTATTTCTACCAATTTCACGTACCCTACTTGTATAATGTACAGTCTTCACTTGTATTTTTATTTTCGAGAATTGGCAATAGTTCACTGATCGTTCTTGTTCTTATTTGTTGCGCAATTTATTTATTATAAGGCTCGGCTTTTTTATTTTTTTCATTGAATCTTAGAATTGGATTAGTTATTGTAGAAGACGGAGTTATTTTCCCCAAAAAGACTACACTTTACTGAGGCAACTTTTGGTGCATGTAATTTTGTTAAATTTTTTTTAATCTAGCACAAATACTCGCTTTTTGTAGCATCCATAACAATTTGAAATGAATTACAACTTTTTCAAAGTCTCAATTCATAAGGCCATAACTTTATTTTAGCTGAAAAGATAAGCTAGAGTAAAAATGAGAATAACTTATTTGGTAACTCACATGTAGTTGAGTCGTGTTGTGCAACCACGTCTGAGCAATACCGAATTTCATAAGCTGAAGAGATGCAGATAGATTGTGAAGATGAGCATGTGTTCCATGCAGAGCTGAAAGTATAATTAACCCCTCCAATTGAATTGCTTTGCATTGATCTGCACCTGGCACGCTTCATCCATCTGAATTGCTTTGCATTGATCGCCTTCTCAATCACGCCAATATCTGTCAGTATTCCATCTGTTTGAAAGAGATTATAGCATCCTTCCTCTGAATAAACCTATTTCCCTCGTATGCATATCAAGTTCAAAACGCTGCTTACCTGTTGTTTTTGCATACTTCGCTTTGCTCCTTGACATGCCTCAAGTAAGCGTCTAATGCAGCCTTCTCCATATTTTGCTCACATGTTCTAGCTTCTATGCTTTAGGAGAGGAGCATTAAGTGTACATTTTATGCCAAATGGATATCTGACTCAATTCCTCCATGTTAATTTGGTACATTGATTTCATATGGTTGAATCGAGATCGATACGTTCCTCAAATGCTTATGCAGAACTCATCTTGTTATTAAGATTACGTAACTCCCATGAAGCTGAAATCTCTGATTGACCACTTACGATTACGGTGAAAGACGGATGCTCTGGCAGATATCATCTCCTTCAAATGCTGTTCTAAGCTGATATACTCAGTCTATACTTTTTAGCAGATAACGCATTACACCTTATAAATGTTGCATAACGGCACAGCACAAACACTGCCAGAACAATGTGGACGTACAGCTTCTTCAGACTCCCTCATCTTAAGCACTAAAGTACCTCTGGTCATCTTGAAGTGATATCACTATCAGTTGCATCACCTGGGTAATGCAAAGAGTATCTATGTCCCTTCATCCTTTTGACAAAATTGTATCTGGAAATGTCACCTTCCGTCCATGAACATATGCAATTGATGATTCACCAAGTTTTTGGTACTTTACGAAGAAGATGCTAACCCGATGTTATGTTTTGGCGCTGTAAAAGCCAGGTGCTCACAGTGAGGAGGATAAAGCTTTTGAGCTGTATTTAACTAGCATAAACGACATATAGAATCAGTTGGCGGAGCTGAACATATTTTAAAGAGAAGTAAAACTCAGGATCCAGAGAGTAACATTGACACCTGAGAAAGAATGAAAGCAAAAAGGTAGATGTTCTGTGGACCCACCTTAGGATGGACAAAAAATTCTTCCCTCTCTTCGGAGGATGGTCTAGAGGTTTTCATGCACAAAAGAGGGCAATTCCTACTAATCACACAATTCTACTTAATTTAATCCTGTTTTGGATCCCTAAATCAGCGTAACAGGAGAGTTCTTGTAGGAGTATAAAATCAAATAAGTAGATGTCAAAAGGAGAGATATATGTTCATCTGCAAAGGAGAAAGATCTGTTTGTCAATGCATTGACTATTACCGTATCCTTCATGTCCATTGCAGTAATGTTAAACGAACCAAAGCCAAACGAGTTTCTTGTGAGTGAAAGAGGCATGAGACTTAGCTTGCAGCACATATAGATTCCCCAAATCAAATGACGTGAATTTAGAAAGACACACGAGAATCGTAAAGGTCAGAAAAGCCAAAAAAGAGACAAATGCAGTGTATGAAAAGCATACAGCGCAATTCGATCTCTGACTCTAATGACAAGCAAAGTCAGAAACAAGACACAGACAGCAACGGACGCTTGAACCATCACTCTATCATTTGTCGAATCTATTGATAACTGTGGTTTTATTCAGAGTGAGACAGCTCAAGAATCTCAAACCGAGATTAGTTTACTCACTGACTTGTTAGAGAAAGGGACAGGGGAGAGCCGCCACAATCACAGTATTTTTTAATGCCATCCAGCCGAGACATCTCAAAGAAGATTTGTGGAAGAAGTATCTAGGACAGTGTCCATCGAACTTTCATACAAGAGAATGCTCTGAATACATATCAGTTAACATTGTTAACTGGTGAGGAAAATGCCTAGGGACAAATGAATTGATTCTTATGCTGGTAGTACGATGTAATGAAGATGTTAAGGCAGGACAAAGATATATTTCCGGCGAGATTATGGTTTTGTCATGTGAATAAGATAAAATAATAGAGGTGAAGTCGGCGAGTAGAGAATAGAGAGAAGAAAGATAATAAATACGGGTACAGGAGAAGATGCGATACCAGAGGAGGGTGGGCTTTGCTTTGGGTGGGAAGCAGAATCTGATGCCTCGTCTCCTCTCTCTCCCCATCCCCCACACTGCACTTTCAATTGGTCCAAATTTTGGCAATTACCTCATCTCAAAGTCTTGTCTTGTACACCAAAAATGTTAATGAGCCTCTGTCAGATCTAACATTGTTGGTATTATATAAAGGAGGGAAGTCCCTCCCTTTCCCTTCATTCCTTGAGCCGCTCTTTCCCATTCTCTTCGGTTCTAGGAGTCTGATAAAATTAGTGTTTGTGGTGGGCATTTATGGCCAGCCAACCACCCCCTTCTAGGCCATGGCTCCGCTTGGCCTCCATTTCTCGTCCTGTCGCTCCAGCTCCAGCTCCAGCTCCTGCTCCTCAGCCGCCACCTCAAGCTCCTCCTCCTGCTCCTGCACTGCAGCCACGACCAACCATGTCGCTTCCCACATTCAGACCCAGCGCTCCACCTCCACCTCCACCTCAAGAACTTCTGCCGCCGCCGCCTCCCCCCATGTCATCCCCTCCACCTCCACCTCCCTCGGTGCCCCGTACGCCACCTCGGCAACCAGTGGAACCACTGCCTAACGTGCCCACTGGCACCCCAACCCGCACAACTACTGCCTCAGTGCCTTCAACTCCACTTGTGAAAACCATTGCGGCACCAACCTCGTCTTTACCTCCTTCACCGGCTAAACTTCCGTCCGCCTCTCCTCCTCGTCCTGCAGTGACCTCATTACCTGTAAAGCCCCAGGTTCCTTCTCCTGCACCCAGATCGCCCGTTCCATCACCCCCCAAAGCTGCTATCATTGAGCCTCCCATCGCAATGCCAATGCCGTCTCCGAAAGTCGTCAAGCCTGCTGCTCGGACTCCCCCTCAATCACCTTCTGCAAAGCCAGTGGCTCCACCTCCATCTCCTCTGGTTCTGCCTCCACCCCAACTGAGAGCTGATGATCAGCCCAGGATCCCCCTGGAGGCAGAGCAAAAGACTGTCCTAGTTCAAGAAACCGTTCCACTCCCTCCCCCTAGCAACAGACTCCCATCCCTCAATGGTCGCATTCATTCTGATGAGACTCCAAAGGCCGGCACTGCTCGTGATGCCAAAAATGGAGATGCAGAAAGACACAGAGGTCCCCACCCCAAGAAGCACCCGGACTCCGGGGAGTTGCCCGGCATGAAGGTCATTACCATCGCTGGCGAGAACAAAGGGGCAACGATGGAGCTCATACGTTCCCCGAAACATCCTCCTTCCCATCATCTTCTTCATAATAAGGCAAGTCCTACATCCAAGAGCAATGGCCAAGAGTCCAGAAACTCATCATTGTCTAGCAGCAGCAGCAGTGACGAAGGAAAACAGAAGAAGAAGAAAGACAAGAGTCACCAATCGAAATCCTTCGCCTCTCCTCCTATCAGCGCATTCATGAATAGCAATGTGCAAGGCGTCAACAACTCCATCATCTACAACAGCTCTTGCACTCACCACGATCCTGGGGTCCACCTTGCCCTCTCCCGAAAGCCATCCAACGGGGCCTTGCACATCAAGGATCTCGTCAAGGGACACCAGCCTTGATTATTCGCGTGACAATTACCTTAACATGAGAATACCTCATTTGCATTGTTTATGTTTCCTCTATTAAAAAGTTAGAAATTATGTTGCTACTGCGAATAACTGAGAGAGAGGTTCGATAAAGAGAAGGAAAAAAAAAAGAGCGGAGTGGATTCTTATTCTTAGTAGGACATGCCATGCCACTTCTAGTGGATGTCATGTTACCGGAGATTGCCCAATTAGTTGGATTCTCCTATATATATGTGGATCAGTTATCATGTCATGCAATTTCAATAAACTTCCGGATTGCTGTGTTGTATGATATGCATGGCGAGTTGTACCTATTTGATTGTTCACAGATTGATAAGCTCCAGGGAGCTGAAGGCCACGCTAGTTTCGCTATCGGACTAGATTGCACGTCCATATACAACACATATTTTTGCAGTCACCTGTATGCAGCAATCTGGTTTTTCTCTCTGGTGTCATTGCATGTCTCGGAGCTTAAGTAATGCAAAACTAAAAGAGTTTTGTCCCAGATTTCTCTTTAAAGGAAAAAGAAAAGAGAATGGAAAAGAGAGATTCCATGCACGGCAAGACTCGCTTAAAGCGAGGGGTCGCAATGAGTCCATGTCACATTCAAGAACATGAAAAAGAATCAAGCTAAAGGCACGGGCAACCTTGTTTCTGCGTATCAATCACAAAACCATCATGGGTGACGGCTCTACACCGGGATTCCTTGTCCTCTCATGTAGGCCAAGCTTGACCCTAAAGTCGAGATATCATCGATAATACATGTCGTCTTCGACGCAGTTGACGGTGAAACGAGAATAATTTGCAGCAATTCGCAGTGAATGGTTTTGCGTTCCAATTCAAAGCAAAAAAGGTAACGAATCACGGGCCTCTACTTACTCTGTTTTGTGGGTCGCGTTTCTATTATTGGGCTTTGCCCACGATTCAGCTTGTACCCTCCTCGAGTGGATATCGACGTCCGTTAATTGATCCATGTCCATGCTTCACCAATACAAACCCACCGACTATACATATCAGACAAAAACGAAGCAACACAAACCACACATATATGAATTTGTTACTGTCTCAGTTAAACTATTTCAGCTTGTGATCACTATATCTACTGATAAAATGCATTCAAATATGGATATGGATTGACTGTAGTTTGACAGTGTGAGATATGTAAATTTATTGTAGATGGAGATACGATCGGAACTCCAATTCCAAATCCTAAATACCCATATGGCACATTAACTGCTTTTAAAATATTTATTTTCTTTTAAACACTCGTACTTTTTTTAAAAATATATTTACCTTAATAAATACTATTTTTAGTGAAAATTATTCTTAATTGAGATGATAAAAGTGTAAAATTAAAAAACTGATCTATACCTATTATATATAATACATTATCTAAACCTGACTTTTGAACATTTAAAGTGATTTTATTATTAATGCAAACAAAAATCAGCCCAAAATAGTTTAGACTTGTCTGGTGGAACATATCCCTAAAGGATTCTGATGATAACAAAACTTAATTCCAATATCTAATAAAGTTATTTAGGCATCTAAATCTTGAGGTGGACCCATTTCGACTTTATTCTTAATGCGAAACATCCGAGAAACTTTCACAACATATAAATATTGACATGTAACTTCACATGCAAATTTTTCATAATTGTCTAAATTTGAATTATATTTTAAATGCCGGAGAGAAAATAAAAAAGAACCTTTCCTTTTGCTTAAATGCAAGTAAACGGGCTCTTAAGTGTGCAAAGGTTCAAATTCAAACCATATAGCCACCCTACTCACATAGGAAGGGGAAGGTGGGGAGTTCGAATTCCCACCTTCTCAAGGAAGCTAGGGGTGGAGACGTTTAGTTTTATATGTGAGATTCGATTCTCACACTCTGCAAAGAGACAAGGTAAAAGTTTAAGAATGAGTTGAGAGTTGAAGTCGGGCATACTAAAAGAAAGAAAAAACCATACAGAGGCGAAGGTTTGTTTATCTAAGCATTTAAGCCAAATTTCACTAAGTTTGGAAATCTGCAAAAGAAAAGGTGTGGAACCAATACCTTGAATTGCAAAATAGTTAGACCTGATTGTAGGTTATTTCTATATATAGAATTGACGATCCTTGGAGCTTCTAAATTGAAGATCCACCTCATAATACTAAAATATGATGTTCCAAGCTTACTCATGTTAAAAGTCACAGATAAATTAGCTTAGTAGATTGGTGAGATGACATGATTGAAACGTGCCATTACTAGAAGAGAACCTGCCACCAATAGAAAATCTTATTGACAGCCTAGATTGAAGGAAGGTTCTGCATGTGTTTTTCTAAGAATTTTGTTGAGATTTTGTATAGAGAATTACATGGACCCAACAGCTACATGATCCAAGTGCAATTAACAAATTTGGAGCTCTATAAATTGGGAAAAAATCGCTAGAATTCATATAGTCAAGAATGGCAAAAACGAGAATTTTGAGCATTCTTGAAAGGTTATCGAGTTGTCTATTTGGTAAGTTTGTAATAGCCATTTGAGTATTGTTCCTGAGATTCCTAAACTAGAACTCTTGTGGCTTCAAGAATTATAACTTAGGTTTTTAAAAGATCGTAACTTATCAAATAATCTATTGCTTGACGATTAAAAGTTACTACTTCCACATTCCTCCACAAAATGACTCTTGAACTCAAGGTCTATATGCACAGTCCAAATATTTCTTGTGTCTCTTACATCTTATACCTAACAAAATCTATATATATATATATGATAAAACAGGAAGTTGGTTACAAAATCAAAGTTCTCAAATCCACATACACACACACACACATATATATATATATATATATATATATATGTATATATATATACACCAATCCAAACTCAACTAAACCCAACACATATCATCAGACATATTCAATTATCTTAACTTAACTCATATCCAAAACTAACTACCAAAAGCTCCCCACTGATAGCACTCTCGTCCTATTTGCCGCCAATTAAAGAACCTAAAAAAGATTCGGAAAGAATGGTATGAACAGCCACAACTTAGTGAATAGTACAAATCTCTTCTAAGTAGATCGAGCATTCACTATGCATCCTTGTAAAACACAATCATAACTCATCTATCTCATATCTAGTATATAATATACGTATATTTTAAAAAATGAGTTACATCATTTCAACAAAGATTTTACGTATTAGAGTTATTTATCAAATCAACAATAATAAATCGACCATCAATGGTCTATTCTATTGATCCATCTCTATCAAATCAAACATTAGTGATCCATTCCATTAATCGATCTCTATCAAATCACACGTCAATGGTCCATTCCATTGACCAATTTAATACTCAATATTCAACTATGGTCACGCTTAATGTCGTGATAAAGGTGACCAAGCTTTACCCTTTGGCTAGTTCCCCACTTATATCAATTGGTGATTTGGCCCAGAATGACGTCTTGACAACAGTATGCATACTTAACCCCTCATTCGATTCTAATCATAGCAACATGAGCATAATTCACTAACATTCTAATCATAGCAACATGAGCATAATTCACTAACATCATTCTCCAAAAACCCACAAATAAAATTTAGAATCCATCTCAAAGTGTAGATTTACTAACCAAAACATATAACTTTTCACAATTTAATTCATCAAATAGTGTACCTTTCATAAACTAGATGCATAAATCAACCACCTTTTGTAATTCCTTCATGAAACGTTTTGCAAACCTGTCACAAACAATTAGTTCAAACTATATTCAAAAGATATTTTGCCATTTCAAATAGACAATAGGGTAGTAAATGCTCGATCTAGTTTTATGCATCCAATATCCTTGTGAAGATTGTCCAATGGACAAATTGGAGATCGATGAGTATAAAAGGACATCAACGGACGCTAAAGAAATTAAGAAGCATCAAGAGTATAGAGCAATCCATTTTACAGAGAAAGCTTTATATATTTACTGTTTTATGAGTTTACTATAAAGTGAAAAGTGTAATATCTTGAGAAGTGTATCAGTGCTATAGTTTGTGCTTAGTATGAGATAGTAAGATCTATCCGCTTAAGTATAAGGGCCACCAGTTTCAAGAAGAAGTGCTTTGAATATAAGCGGTACATACTACTGTAACTACTCAAAAAATTGCTCGTGGAATTTAGCCAGTAGGCTGTTAATCTAGGAGAGTGGATATAGGCTTACGCCAAGCCAAACCACTAAAAGGCTATTCGCGCATTGTTCTCTATCTCTCTGCTCATAACTATTACTGTCTCATTGAAGCACACTGCACTAGTTAAAATTACTTGTTCCCGCTTATATTAACTCGTTACTACTATTTCACTTATATTTAACTTGATTGTTATAATTACGCAAAAGAAATTCAAATTTTCTTAAAATCACTTATTCACCTCCACCTCCTGTAGGTAATATTGTTAGCCACCACACTCTCGTCTTATTCTGTGTTGAGGTATTACCCTTGCGTGAGTTTTGACGGGAGCACTTCCTTTTACCCTAAACTTCGAAAATTTTCTACGATCAAATTGTAACTCCAAAACAATTTCCATCAAATATTATGGCTCTAAAATATCTTAAACTTTTATTTCCCCATAACTTTATTTCTTAACAACTCCTAAATTGAACGCAGCAACTCAGAATTGACATAGATCTGAATTTATGCAAAGAGGACAAGTGTCCTATCCATTAGTTGGAGGAAACAAACCATGCGTACTGAGAGGGCAGATCCTCCTTTTGATGACAACATTCACGCCCGTTACTGAGAAGTCAGTTTCTTCTGAGGGTAAGACAATTTTGTTATAGCGTAGTTTAGTAGTATTGCGATAGACGTCATTTGATCATAACCATTTGGTAGATAACTAATGTTTATTGGGTATCCATATGGACAGCGAGGTAATCGTGTGTTCTATATAAATGTGTTTCCCTTTCAGTTGTCTGATGAAATGAACCAACCGAAAATGGTTGTAACAGTACTTGTAGAGGATGGCGGGGTCATTGAAATTGTAAAAGACAAGCATGACAATAGTGATGGCGTTCCTGCTTCTGATCTCTCTGCTCCATCACAATCTCACAGTCCTTCCTCAAGTTCTGCGAACCAAGGAAGAGATTCTGAATATTCAAATCAGCCGTATGATACGATTGAAGTGCAGCAACAAGTAACACAAACTTCTCGAGATAGAAGCTCCAGAGCATTTGAAAATTTTCATTTGTGAAATTCCACCATCTTTAGATCACTCTTGTGCACCTCTCCATTCAGCAAACTCAGGTACAAGATACCCCATCTCT